TGGAGAAAGACTTATGTAAGCAGCCATGTGCAGCAGTTCTCACTATGATCTCTGAAAGTGAGCTGCACTTCCAAAGCGTGATATAAAAAGTGGGTGGCAATGAAATTGAGCATAGATGTTGAAATACATCACTCCATGATCTCAGCATGTTTGTTTGTTTGCAGACCAGTGGAAAGTCTGAATGTTTTGAAAAAAAAAGTGGGGTGTGGAGGGTCTGGGTTGGGCTCTCTTTCTCGCGTCTCTCTCCAGCCTAGAAGTGGAGTGTCTTTGCCCCCCTCCCCCTCTCTTCGAGCCGCTGGCCCTCGGTCAGGTAACCAAACAGGATAGTATCACAGGACGGTGAAACCCAAAGTATGCCTGCCTGCCTCCATATGTCCGTTCACGTGTGTCTGCGAGGCTCTCACCCGTACCTGTCATATATCCTAAATCTTCTTTGTTCTCAGTGTGTTTGCTTGTGTGTTGCATCCCCTCCTGAACCCCCCCACCTTTTCAGACACACCCTTGGGTCCACTCCCAACAGACATCCCCAAACCCACATATATGGTCTATATTTCCAGAGTCGTTGCTATGCCAACAGCCCACTTTTTGTGTCTTAGTTGTGGGAGAGTCTGATCTGAGCCCACTCTGCCTCCCACTGGACACTGTAGAGAACTGCAGGCTCTACAGACTCAGATCTACCATAACAGCCCCTGAAGGGTTGGATGACAGAGACGCCATCGGCGCCAGAATCATATCAGTTGTTTTTGCCAAAATTAATATTACTTTCTTAGATATTGAGAAGAAAACTGTGGAATTAGTTTTTGAAACATGGAGAGGAAAAAGTTGGTGAAGCTGAGCTGCAGTCTCAGCCACCCTGTTTCAACAGCCTGGAGGCAGGAAGCTGCTGCAGCTTTCACCTGAGAACGCACTGAACCCTTGGATGAAGCACGAGGGAGAATGAATAATTGAAGGTGTTCACTCTTCCATCCATACTAGTCTCCCCTCGCTGCGGAATACATGGACCAGATTTCCTGTTTCCTCTACAGGAATTAGTGCAGCAAAATTATACATAACCCAGAGAAAAAAACAAACAACCATGTTTAATATAAAGCACAGTGGATTTGGAAAGTGAGTTTTTTTAAAATGAAAAATGTGACCAACATTCTTTCAACTTTAATTTGACATCTATTCTGTAAAGTTCAACTGAAAAAAAACACTATTTTAGGGAGAAATGGTCAAATAAAACAAATGTTCTGCAAACAGGTTGCAGGAGTCTGCAGAAAACACTCTTAAACAAAAATTAGCTGATTTTAATGAACTTCAGTGTTTTTATGAGTTAACAACCATCAGTTTTACTTAATCTGAGTAGTCTGATTACTTTTAGTTCCTTTATCTGTCATTGTTTAAAGAGAATTAACAAAAAGCATCAGAGGAATCTCTTCATAAAAAAGCTTTTCATAGCTTTATTAACTTGAGGCTATATAACAATAACGGGACGCCTGAGCCTTACGGAGCAACTAGCAAAGATTGGTGCAATTTTACAGTAAATTTTACAGAATTCAGCTTCTATTTTCTACATGGTTATACGCTGACATTGTGCTGCAGCATCTTAATCCCCTTTCTTAAATAAAATAAAAATATTGCCACAAAGTCCTTTTCTATCTCTGCTTGGTCTGATTGGATTAGCAGCAAACAGGGAGGATAAATCAGCAAAATATCCACATATCAAAATTTAAAACAAGACAAAGTCTAATATAAAAGTAATTAAATGTGTGGTTCAGGTTTTAACTATGAGAAACTAATGATTCCACATTCCTGTGAGCAACAGAAAAAAAACACTTATCTCTTTAAGGCTGTAGAGAAATTAGTTATTCTCTTACAAGATCAGAACTAAGTTCTGTTGTCATTTTAAATGTTCTTATTTTACAATGAAAATATATCAAGTATCGCCCTTTTGTTTAATAGTATTGTTGTACATGTGTGCAGTTGTGAGTCCTGTACAGCCTATAAATAATAAAGTGATACTAAAGTGAACAACGATGATCTCAGTTTGACATTGTGGAATCAATATTAGGAGTCTTATAACCTTTATGCTGTTTTTAATGCGACTCGTCTAACATTTAAAATGAATAAATCTTCTAACATAATACAGAAGGTAACACAGAAACCTCCAGAAAACTCCAGGCTCGACTTAAACCTCCCAAACTTTGTCTGATCAAAGTAAAGTTAAACCTTCAGGGCAATTATTTTAAAGTAAAGGTTTATCATCTCTAAGAAACGCTGGACGGCCGTTTATCCCTTTAGTCATGTACAAAAAAAACTATTTAAGGTCAGATCGCCATACGCTTCAAAAAACAGCATAAATTAAGTATTTTATGCTGTTTTTTTGTACATGACTAAAGGGATAAACGCCCGTCGAGGTGGTTTAAAGTTAATTTTTCGTACCAAACTAGAGAGATAAACTAAAGGGATAAACCAGTATTGACTATGGGTATGCTGGTCCGACAGAACAGCGGCCTACTGGTTAGGACATAAAGTATGGAATCCCCACAGACTGCCAGTCTGGGTCCCTGAGCCAGACCCTTAACCCCACTCTGCTCCCCGGGGGCCTCACCATGGCAGCCCACTGCTCCCCAAGGGGAGGGGTTAAATGCAGAGAGGGAATTTCCTGGCTCTGTACTTGTGAAAGTGACATGACAATAAAACGCTAAAAAGATGGAAAACTGAAAAAGACTTTGGGGTAAAAAAAAATCCAAGTTTTGAAAAGGACTAAAATGAGTATAGATCTACATTTCACAGATAAACCTGTTGATAGATAGAGGATCTCCTCCAGTATCGTGAGGCGTGTTTAAGGACTCTGCCTGAAGAAGGTTAAAGGTTTGAAGAAGAGTTAAAGGAGGTGCTGACTTATTAACTCATTATTATCTATTGGTTTTTTGTTTGTTTTTCAGTTGAATTTTACAGAACAAATAATAAATAAAATGAACAAAAAGAAGGTTTTAAATTTCATTCACCTGAGCCTGATTTCTCATTTAAAAACCCAGAATCCAACAGGGTGTGTGTAGACTTTTAGGCCCCTCCCTGCTTATTGAAATGTTTGCACTCCCCCCACCCCCCCTTCCCTTTTTTATTTATTTATTTTATTTTATTTTCTGCCAGTTGGACTGTTTGCTTGCCGTTTCTGTCTGTCTAATTGTCAGTATACTTTCCTTCAGTCAGTTTTGTCCTTGTCCTTTGCAAAAATGCACATTATTGCATTCAACATCGATCCTCATCCAAATTTGGAGTTTTTCTGGCGCACCCGACTAAGAGCGCGCATCTATCTTCCAGGTGAAGAGTTCGATAGAGAATGCTGGCCAGACAGACAGACGTTTTATGGGCTCCTTGTTTTCCTGCCTGTCCAGGGCATTGCCTTCACTCTGTCTGAGTGACACCTACTTGCATATATTAAATATGCACATGTAGCCAATGCCGGTCCGTGCTTTGGCCCTGTGTTCCCACTCCACACTTTTAGAGTGTTGCTAAAATGCTGGAAAATCAGGCTGCTTTAAAAACCCACTTGTATCGTCTTTAGTTTTTGAATTTTTTCAACACGTCCTCTTTTGTAACACTCTAAATGTGCTCTTCCCACCTTTTATTATTTCTCCCTTTTCATGGTTTTAGTGAAGTTCTAGTTTGGATGGTGTATCACATTATTTCTCATTTCTCACTTATTTTTAATCTCACCCAAACAGATGTTTCTTTATTTCCTGATGATCAATTGTATTTATTGTCTTATTCTTTTTTCTTTGTGCTCTCTCTCTCTCTCTCTCTCTCTCTCTCCTTTTAGCATGTTTGCTCCTTTGTCTCCTCTTAAAGATATAGTGTGTGCATTTTATTTTAATTTTGTGTCTTTTATTCTTCTCAAACTGACCAAACTAAGCCGTTCTTGTGTTTGCAGGCTTTCTTTCCCTCATTTCCTACCTTTCCTAGCAGCTCTCTTTGCTCTCTCTGATGTGCTGCCGTTTGTTTAGATCTCACTCTATGCTTTTTGTTTTCATAATCTCCATGTTGTTAATATTTGGTATCTCTTCTAAAACTGATTTTTAAAACTCTGCCTGCTTGTCTTTTCCTTTCATTTATTGTTTCCAGGGTTTTTGTCCTTTTATGATTTCTGTCTGTTTGTAATTTTCTCTGTTTGTGTTCCTGTTTTTCTCCGGACTGTTTTCTCATTGTTCAGACGTTCATGTTCGTCGAGCGGCCATTTAAATGGATAACCATCTCAGGTGTCCATCAACAGTTAGCTTTTTTTCTGTCCTTTCTCATGGTTATTTTGGTCTTACTTTTCTCTTTGTGATTCTTTATATTTATTCATATATGAAGAGTTTTCTCTCCAAGCGTGTGGAAGGGAATGAAATGTGACATTTATTAAAGTTGTACCGCAGTTCCAGCCGAACCACTAAAGCTCTCATGTCTCTCCCTGTTTGTTTCTATAAGATTCGCTGTTTGTTGTTGTAATTAATAGAGATTTAAACATGCAATGTCTGTCCTCTATATGTGGCTATACATGTTTGTCTGTTATGTTTTACATTTATCTGTATATTTATATATGTATTTTAGCCTCAGAGGAAATAAATGTTCTAAACTTTCCAAGGATTGGAAACATTTTCTATCATTTAAAGTTGAATGGTTTTATTTCTTGTATTTTTTGCTTGTGGTAACTTTCTTTTGAGGACGTCCCTGTAATTGTCTGAGGTTTAATATCTCATCCATCATGGCTCTCAGGTCTGTGTGTCATTAATCTGTGGAGAACCTGGCAGGTTTTCTTTGGCTTTGTTAGCGACGGCCACTAAATAAATAAAATCTGGTTGTGCTTTGAGGTGACATCTATCCAAAGTAGAGCTGGACTGAGCGGATGATTTTAGAGACAGGTGGAGGCCGCCCTCCCTCTGGGCTCACAGGCTTCCGTAGATGAGACGGCTGCTCATTAACGTTTCAACGTTTCTCTGTTTGTCATCCTGATTTTTTTCCTTTGCTTTCAGGGGGAACAAACCAGCAAACAGCCCCAAAGGTCACCCCCCCGACGCCGATGGCCACTCCTCTGTAACCGACCTGGCAAACTCACTCACTGGAGACATGGTGATGGTAAGAGGATCTATATCATGTAATGCGTCGCTCTATCCTCCACATCAGTAGCACATGTTTTATTTGCCGGTATCCATCTTGTTTTTTAAAGCAGAGCTCCTGAAATCATCTATATCAAACTTCTCTTTGATAAAATAACATAACTTTGGTTAAAAATTAATTATTTGATTGAAAACAAGCCTCACTGTGTGCTATTATGGTGGCAACAACTTTCCCCATAATATGCAACATTTTTTATTGCCCTACAGGTTTGATAATAAAATTACCTTCAAAACTGCTTTATAATGCCATGATAATAAAGAACTTCATTTAAGAAGTATACAAACTAAAGTTTTTAACAATTCAAACAATATAGACAGATATCTGACAGTACAAAGAAATGTTTAAATTCTAGTTGGATGATAGAAACAGAAGAAGAAGGTTCATGTGTCTTTATCCAAAAACTATATTAATGAAATATTTATTCTGGATATAATATCTATAATATCTATTGCATCAACTCTCATGAGCTGGATGGATACCCCAAACCTGACAACAGCCAGATGCATGTCTCACTCCGCCTAGCTCCGCTCACATACATCTGGGAACCCGCCTTAGGAATTG